TTTCTATTTTGTTTACTTCTAGAAGTTTTTTTTCAGATTTTAAATTTAAGTCCTTAAGATATTTCAATTTAGTTTTAAAATATAATGTCAGATAAGGATCCAGTTTCAATGTTGATATAGCTACTCGGCTTTCCCACCATTTGTTTCTGAAGAGAACATCTCCCTATACATAGGTCCCCTTCTCAAAATGAGTTGACTCTACAAGCATGAACTTGTTTGGGGTCTTTCTCTTCCAGGAGTCTGTGTATCTGCTGTTATTCCCCAGCAACACTCTTTAAATTCAGATTTATTACGCAACTGATTCCAGTGTGTGCCTCCAGCTATGTTCTGGAAGTGTGATGCGCTCATGTTGCTTTTGCTATTTGGGCTCTTTTGTGGATTCATAAAAATTATAGGATTTTTTTTCTAATTCTGTGGGATCAACATTGTGAAGAATGGACAATTTGATAGCATCAAAACTTCTAAGACATGAATGTGGGATATAATTCCAACTGGTTCTTTTCCATTCCTTTCAATAATGTCTTATTTATTATTTTCAATGTACAAACACTTTCAGTTATTTCATTAAATTCATTCCTAAGAATTTTATTCTTTTGAATGAACTCTAAATGGCAATGTTTTCTTAATTAGTGTTTCAGAAACTTCACAGTTACATAGAGATATAACTGATTTTTACATTTTTTGTATCCAGTAACTTTTCTTTTTTTTTAAGAGAGAGATAGAGAGAGAGAGAGAGAGAGAGAGAGAGAGAGAGAGAGAGAGAGAGAAAATTTTTTAATATTTATTTTTTAGTTTTCGGCGGACACAACATCTTTGTTTGAATGTGGTGCTGAGGATCGAACCCGGGCCACACGCACACCAGGCGAGCGCGCTACCGCTTGAGCCACATCCCCAGCCCCCAGTAACTTTTCTTAATTTGTTTATTGGTTTAAAAGGTTTTTGTTGGGGCTGGGGATGTGGCTCAAGCGGTAGCATGCTCACCTGGCATGCGTGCGGCCCGGGTTCGATCCTCAGCACCACATACAAACAAAGATATGTCCGCAGAAAACTAAAAAATAAATATCTAAAAAAAAAATAGAAATAAAAGGTTTTTGTTGGTGGTGGTGGTGGTGATAGTGGTGGTGGTGTCTTTAGGGTTTCCATACATAATTGCATGTATTTAATAATAATTTCACATCTTTTTCCCAGTAAAAATACATTTGATTTACTTTTCTCACCTAATTGATATAGATAGGACCTCGAGGACTATGATAAAGTAAAATAGCAGGAATGGAAATTCTTGTTCTGTTCCTAGTCTCAGAGGAAACACTTTCAGTTTTCAGCATCATGTCTCAAGTTAGGTGATGGGTCAGTATGATATTTATTAAGATACAATCCTCCTACACTTAAATTGTTGAGAGTTTTCTTCATGATCAGATGTTGGATTAAAAATTTCTACATCTATTCAGATTATACAAATTTTATCCTTCATTCTGTTAATGTGGTTGATTATAATTGTGTATTTGTATATGTTGAAATTTTTCTTACCAACCAGGGCTAAAATCCTTTTGGTCATCAGGTTATAATTTTTTTTACTGTGCTGTTGAATCCATTTTGCTGGTATTTTGTAGAGGATTGTAACACCCTGTTGAAACAAAACTATTTTCTTTTGAATAGCATATTTTCCTGGTTTTGGTTCAAAAGTAATTCTGGCCTCCTAAAATTAGTTTGCAAATATTCTCTCCTCTTCAATTTTTTTTTTTGGAAGATCTTGAGAAGGTTGGTGTTAATTTATCCTTATGTATTTGTTAGAATTCGGCAGTAGAGTTATGAAATCAAGGATTTTTCCTTTGGGGATGTTTTTGATTAATCCTCTGAATCCTCACTCAATATAGATGTGTTCAGATCCCTATTTCTTTATGATTCACTCTTAGAATCATGTTTCTAGAATTTATCCATTCTTCTAAGTTCTATAATTCACGGCATATGATAACTCATGGTAGCTTTTCTAACTGTTTTAGTCAACATTTTTGCCCCTGTAACCAAAGACCTGACAAGAACAACTTTAGAGAGGAAAAGTTTATGTGGAGCTCACATTTCAGAAGTCTCAGTCCACATATTGCCAACTCCATGCCTCAGGGCCTGAGAGGAGGCAGAACATCACACAGCAGACTGTGGAGGTGGAAAGCAACTTGAGAAACGCACAAGAAAACAGAGCGATGCCCCTCACCATGGTCAAAATATACACCCCAAAGACCCGCCCCTATTGACCCACCTCCTCTAGCCACACCTACCTGGCTCCAGTTGCCATCCAGTTACTCCCTATCAGAGGATTAAAACACTAATTAGCTTAAGGCTCTCATAACCCAATCATTTCACCTCTATGCTATCTTGCATTGTTTCACACAGGAGGTTTTTGGGGGATGCCTAAGGCCTAAACCATGGCAATGATCCTTTCTGTGTTTCTGTAAAAAGTATTAAAATGTAGTAATCTCTCTCTCTCTCTCTCTCTCTCTCTCTCTCTCTCTCTCTCTCCCTCTGGTTAGTCTAGCTAAATTCTGTCAGTTGTTTCTTATTGAACTCTTGGCTTTGCTATCTTTCTAGTCTGAATTTCATTTGTTTTTTCTGTTCTCAGCTTTACATTTATCTTCCTTCGACTACCTTTTGGAAGAACTAAATCAACCCTGCTTATTTCTAGGAATGCATTGTTTAATTTATACATGTTTCTGAATTTTCAAATATTTTTCTTAGTATTGATTTCTACTTTTATACCATTAATTCAGAAGTGATACTTGATGTGATTTTAATCCTCCCAGAATGTTAAGGCTAATCTTATTGTCTAACATAGGATCTCTCCTGGAGAATGTTCCCTGTCTCTGGAGACGAACATTCACAGTGCTGCTGTATTGGATGCCTTGTGCATATCCAGTAGGTCCACTTGTTTTTTTAGTTTTATTCAAATCCATTGATTATCTTATTAATTGCTGTCTAGATAACCAATCCAATTGCTGAAGCTGGGATTTGGGAGGTCTTTACTATGATTGAAATGCTGTCTATTTTTTCCTGAAGTTGTGTTAATTGTTAATGCCAGGAAACAGGGTTGTTTCCAGGTCTGTCACTAGGACTACAGTAGGTGAGTCTGATATTTACATGGAAGTGTAGAGCCTCAAAATAGCCCCCCCCCTGGAGCTTGCACACCTTTGAGACTTTGCAGCCTCCTTTCTGGATCCCAAACCCCCACAGAGGCACGTCTGTTCCCAGATGGCTTACCAATTATTGTTGTGGGGATATGAGGGAGCCCTCCTATCCTGCCATCTTGCTGATGTCACTCCCTAGTTTATTTCTGAGGGTTGGAAGAACTGGTGTCCTTTCTAATAGCTGAGCTAACAGTAATAATTTTCACTTAGTCATGGTTTTCAGAGAATGTCTTAAGATATACAAATCTTATCCCCAATGAATGATTAAATGACATTATCACTTATTAACTAGTTGGTCATATATTAGAGAACATATAATATGAAGCTAAGCTCAAAATAGGTATTACATTTTCAGAAAAGTATATCATTTAAGTTTCTAGATGTTATGGAAAATCTCATAAGCTATCCTTAATACTTGATCCTAAGACATCAATGATTCTATGAGTCTATATGTATACTTATATGCAAATTTATTATTATTATTATCAGGAATGATCTTGCCCAGTGTGGTAGCACACATCTGTAATTCCAGTGGCTCTGGAAACTGAGACAAGAGGATTTTGAGCTCAAAGCCAGCCATAACAATTTAGTGAGACACTAAGCAACTCAGTGAGAGCCTATCTCTAAATAAAATACAAAAAAGGGCTGAGAATGTGGTTAAGTGCCCCTGAGTTCAATCCCTGGTACCAAAAAAGAAAATAATAATTTCATAAATTTATTCTCTTTCATTCTTAGGTTTAAAACAAATAATAAAGTCACTGTCAATGTGTCAATCTATCCTTGAATCTATGAACCTTAAACTCTGTCTTTATTTATGCCTGATTTATTTTTTTTTCTGTTTCAGTGATTCAGTGTAAAAATTACTTGTATCTTGCATCTTTGCAATATAAAACGATCGAGTGCTCACTGTGTGGATTGAATAGTTCTATTTCTGTAGCCTGGTGTGTATCTTTATACAGATGATGTAGCTGCAACCATGCTCTGATTTTCACATGGAGGAGGGTAGGTTTTCGGGCTTCCCCCTTCTCAGGAGCTGTCTTCCTCAGATAATTCCTGAGAAGATTTTTATTCCCTGTCCTGCCTTTAGCAGCCATTGGGTGTCTGCTGTTGGAGGAAGGGTGTGACATCAGCTGAGAATCTTCTTTGCACCACAGCCTATCAGTGTAGCATGTGTCAGCTCTAGGCTGACACCACTTCCTATAACTAGGGACACAAGTCCTGCCTCGATGGGTGCTCACAAAGAGGCCTCATCCTGACCACCACAGGAGGACTGTCCCTTGCTTATAAGATTTCCACTGCTTCAGCAAAGTTGATTTCTATGAATATTCCTTGTGTTATTGTTGTTCAGGATCATGGTCTATAACTAACATAGACTAGAAAAGGGCCTGCCTTACTTGAAATCTTAATTGGCTAGTTGTCCTTAATTGGGTAGTAGTCTACTTTGCACAATGGCTGAGCTAAATACATTACAATACCTAGTCTGTCTGGGGTTCATGAAGAAACCATAGGAATCTGTGATAATTGCCTTACTGTTGACATGGAAAGATTTTAAAAGAACATTCTTTATAACATGAAAATTAGTACTTGTAAGCACTAATTGTTTTCCCATGATTATAAAACCTGCAACTAATGTACTAAAAATTGCTAGGTTATGCTATGCTATGTATGTAGCAATTATCATGAAAGCATTTGATTATATTCATTCATATTAATGGTGTAGCCTTCATTTATAGGTTTGTAAACATTTCAGACTCTATTACCTGCCTACCTTATTTCATCCTGTTGACAGAATACATTATCTTTGTTTTATGGCTGAAGCAGAGTGTGGAGAGCAAAGAAGCGGCAAACTGCACATGGTCAAGAAACGTGGAAGGCTGGCTGTGAAATCAAGCTGCGCTCTGGCTGCGAGGGAGTAAGCTTTCACTTTCTTCTTCATTTTTTTGTATTATTTTGTAAAGATAGATCAGTACTATAGTGTTCAAATAAACTAATAATCCCTTTCACTTTGAATGTTAACAAATATTTAAGAGAATATCTATGTAAGCTGTCTACACAGCTAATGTTAATATTCTGTTTCGAAAATGCATCTATCAGTGATAGTTTATGTTCTTTATGCATAATAGTGAAAAAATAGTTACATTTTGAAAGAGTTGTTTGTATGCTTATAATTGTTGGTTTGGGTAAATACAATTTTGCTGACTTAGAATATTAAAAGATGATAAAAAAGAAAGAATCCCAAAGCAGCACAGTTCACTGACTAGCATAAAATGAGGTAATGCTAATGAAGTCAGAGCTGCTAAAAATTTGGATTATTTCAAGCTTTTAAATGAAATTTCTGTGATGGTTTTATTAACACATTGTAATTGTTCAATGTAGACTAGTTTCTTGTGACTGGCTAAATGCAATTTAGGTCGTTGCCATGAATAGAAAGCCTTTATACTCTGCACGTGTGTGGAACATACCCACGTGCTGGGTGCAGATTTGTATTCTACCTATAAACATGTATGAACTAAATATAATGCTACAGCTTAGCTTTTACATTCAGCCCCTTACCCTCCCATGCACTATGGAAATAGAGCCACACCAGAAGTAGTTACAAAAATGTCAACCATTTGAGCCTTAACTGTGCCAATCAATAGCTTTGAGACTTGATGATGTTGGATAAGACTTGCTTTTCTTTCCTGTAATATTACTTGAAAATCAATATCTTCTCACACTGTTCTACAAAAGTTAAAGAGAAAATGCATAAAGAGTGCTTAGTGCAGTGTCTGTTGCCTACTGAGTGCTCAGGTTGAAAGTCACAATCAAGATGACTCACCCTCTCTTCCTCTTCCTCTTCTCTCTCACATTGTAAAGAAGCCCTGAAGGTGGAGATCTAGCAAAATGTGAGTTGAGGGCTGGGGATGTGGCTCAAGAGGTAGCTCGCTCGCCTGGCACGCGTGCGGCCTGGGTTCGATGCTCAGCACCACACACAAACAAAGATGTTGTGTCCGCCGAAAACTAAAAAAATAAATATTAAAATTCTCTCTCTCTCTCTCTCTCTAAAAAAAATGTGAGTTGAAAGCTTGGCATGATGGACACTCAGGGATCCCTGTTTAGAAATAAGAGTCTAAATCTTTTTCTTTACTTTTCTTAGTTATAATTGCTCAGTATTCATAAAAACAAAACTGACAAATGAAACTTTTTATTGCACATTTAGATCATTTACTATATGATTAATATTATTATTTATGATATAAATTAAAATCCCAAGTAACCATTTATATACATTACAAATTAACAACTAAAGATAGACAACTTTTTCTAAAAAGTACTTTTAAAAAGTCTAGCAATGTATGAGCTCTCTTTAAATCTACTTTGGTTGCTGATTTTTATTTTGAAGAAACTATATGAATTAGTGAATCACAATTTAAGAGATAGACAGCTTGAGGTGTTTCAGTGTCCTCCGATGTTACAATTTCGTAGTAATCAAACATTATTTTATCTCTCAGACACCCAAGGTTATCATCTATTATGTTGAATTGATTCACAGAATTATAAAAATGAAGTGAATAATTCAGATTCATAATTTTTTTTTAGTGTTTAATGCATACAGGTGTACATGAGTCTATTAAGTGTGCCACTACCAAGTACAAAAAGCTGAGTGTATGAAAACCACTGTAATGGTCTTCTCACAGTTCTGCAGGGTAGAAATCTGACTTCAGGCAATCAGCAGGGATGCTCTCACAAGGCCACAGGTAGAATCCTTCCTTACCTCCTGCTATCTCTTGTTGGTGGCCATCAGCCCTTGGTATTCCTGGTTTATAGCTGTATCTCTCTCGTCTGTGCCTCTGCCACCCCGTGGCATTCTCTCTCTGTGTGTCTGTGTCTTTGTATTATCTGCTTAGACAAACCCCAGCCAAGCTGGATCAGGGTCCACCCTGTGCCCTCTTCTGACTGTGATTATGTTTGCAAAGACTATTTCCAAATAAGAACTCACTCCCAATACCAGGCATTGAGATGACACTTGATCTTTTATGGGGAGGCAATTCGACCCACAACAGACTTGAAACTGATGATGAATTCAATCTGATGCTTAAGTGTTTCATACTGAATGTCTGGGTTGATACTTACAAACACCTATTTGTGAGGTCTCTGACAGCTTCAGTAATAAGATCTTCAACTTTATGAAGTCATCCTCTCACTGAGCACTCTTTAATTTTTCTAGCCTGAATTCGACAGCATTACACACTTTCAACTGCTTGTTTGTCTAATGAGGATGAAAGGTGAGGACTGGTGGAAAGTCCTGTTTCTGTGCTTTCTAAATTCAACATATAGTTGGAGTCTATAGACAGATATGACCCAGGATGAGCACCCTCCCTGAAAAGTGCCTGGAAAATGAGGCTTTCTGTATACATACGACTACCTCTGAGTATGAATAGAAAATTCCCTTTCTTGCCAGTGGGTAATTCTGCATGTCAGTGCTCCAAATAAAAATATACCATGGTCTATTAATCACACTGTATTCACCAGTCAGAGGCCAGCCGTCCCCAGCTGTGCTTCCTTTTCCTGAATCTTCTCATAAGTAACCATTTTTTTTTTGACTCATCAAATTTTCAAGGAAAATGCCTTAAAATTCCATGCAGAAACAATGTTTTCTGACTAGAAAATATACTCACCTGGAGACAATGTTATAGTATTAGCTACAGTCAAGCCAAAGGTAATGTTAAATAAAATATGCAGTTTAATTGTTAATTCTTTCAGAGGCTATTAAAGACATGGTAGAAAATGCCAAATATTTGTACTGTGGTTTGTCTACTAGTGATTCTCTTCTTGCCTTTTGAACTGCCTTAAAAAGAATCTATCCCTGTTTTCAGCCCTTGAGGGTCCTTTTGTACTATGTGAATCCCTTTCCTTACATATACACCTGGTCAAGGTCTAAGAAACAGAACTAAGATAAATTAATCTATTCCTTAGAAATCAGTTCTTCCACCCTTTGAGAATTGTAGACATTGTTGAGCATAGAATAATGGGAGAGGAAAGGACTAAGAAGAAGGGTCAACAGACACAATATTAGGTTAGACAGTGTTAGGATAGGCAGAGAGGAAGGGTCAACAGGTACAATGTCAGGTTAGACAGGAGGAGTAAGTTCTGATGGTCTATGATGTAAAGAAAGGTGAACATAATTAACAATGATTCCTTGTATATCTTGAAATGTAATATTGTTATATAGAAGAAAGAATTTTGAATGTACTCATAATAAAGAAATTAAAACGCTTGAAGTGTAAGACATGTCAATTAGAGTGAGCTGATATAACCCAGTGTTGCCATGAGTGTAAACATTATATTGTACCTCATAACAATGAACAGATATTTTGAATTAATAGTTTTTTAACAATAGAAAACAAAATGGATTCTAAAAGGTCACATAGGCTTTGAGTTATATTTCTTGCTGAATTTCATGTTTTGATTTGGTTCAAAGGTCTCTGGACCACTCTGAGTGTGTGAGAAGTTAGCATTTATGTAATAATAACCTGTGGTAAAAACCTTTTTTTTTTTTTGATAGGGTAATTATTACCTGTTCTACAGATTGTTATGTGTATAGAAGGCAGCAATTCAGTTCCTGGACAGAAGGTAAGATGCATGGACCACACCTGTGTATGTGTGATTTTACCACTATTTTCATAGCATCTGGACAAAGATCACTAGAAAGTTTAGCTTAAAGGCCCTGAGCTCTGTCCAGACCACTTTTAAAAACAATTAACAACTTATTTTAAAAGGCAGAAGAAAAAAATTACATTTTTTTAGTACTTGGAGTAGAATAAAAACAAGAGAAAGATATACAGGAAGACTCAATATTAATGAAAAAAGTAGAAAAGATTAAAATTTGTTTGAATACACCCTTTAAATATGTATATTTAATCAGAGAGAAAAAGCTTCAAAGGCCTTCAAGAATGAACACATTAATTTGGGGGCTTAAGATTATCAACTAATGTGAAAATTGTCAAAGGTTTTCGTTTACTGTAAGATCAATGTTATTTAATAATGCATAACATATTAGCTTGCAGTCTATTTTATGAAAATCAACATTCCACAAAATGTGTGCTTTGTCATATTCATTCTAACCATTACATGAAAATAAATTTTCTGAGGGTTAGGCTAAATACACTTCAAGAGGTTACATAGAACCAGGCTTTTAAGTATGCTAGAATTCAAGTTGGCCATCCAAACCACGGTGATATTCTAGGAACCATTTCTCAAGCATCACCAATATTAATTCTTTTCTAGACAATTTCAAGTTTGACAGTGCCAAAGACTACATAAAAAAAAAAAAAAAACTAGCTACAACTTTCACATGATGGTTTATAAAACAGAAAAAGACACAGAAAAAAATATCACATTAGGAAAAGAATAAACAGCCAGTTAACAGGATCAAAACTTAAGGAAATTATAGGTCTATTTTTAAAAATCAATTTTTGTGTAAACTTAAGATATGCAGCATGATGTTTTAGAATAGAGAGATAGTAAAAAAAAAGTTATTATAGTGAAGTGAATTAACATATCTGTCATCACATGGCTAACCTCTTTTTGTTGTTTTGTTTTGTTTTTGTGGAACGAGTAGCTAAAATCTACTCAGCAGAAATTCCAACTATGATACAATTTTATTAAGTGCAGGCCTCATTTTGCCATTTTCTCTCTAGAGCTATTCATTGCACATGTGTTGCTTTGCATCCAGGGGCCTATATTTCCCATTTCCATCCTCAGCTCCTGCTTCTAGTAACGATTGTTTTATTCTCTTTGTATATTTGACTTTTTATTTTTATTTTTTTTTTCAGGTTTGACACATAAGTGAGATCACGCAATGTTTTCATTTCTGTGCTTGGCTTATTTCACTTTGCATAATGCCCTGCAACTTCATCCCTATTTCAAATGACAGGATCTCTTTTGTTAAGGCTGAATAATATTCCATGGTATGTACGTGCCAGAATTAATTTGTCCCCTGATGAATATCCAGATTATTTCCGTATCTTGGCGCTTATAAATAATGGTGCTGTGAGTATGGCAGTGAAAATACTTTTGTGAAATTGTGATTTCACTTCCTTGAGTGAAATGCCTAGAAGAAGGATGTGGGACCACATGGTAGTTCTATTTTAATTTTTTTATAAGCCCCCATACTACTTTCCTCAAAGGCAACCCCATTTTTCTTTCCCACCACCAGGGTACAGGGTTCCCTTCGCTACACACTCCCTTGGCTTTCTGATAATAGCCATTCTGACAGGTGTGAGGAGACATTTCAGTTGCTTTGGTTTGCTCTTCCCTGATGACTAGTGCTGGTGATTTTTTCATACTACTTGTTGACAAATTTATGTCTAATATAAAATGTTAGTAAAGTGTCCACTTAGGTCCACTCTCCATTTTTAGCCAGGTTGTTTATCTACTGCTGAGTTGTATGAGTTCTTCATAAATTTTGGCTATTAATCTCTTTTTCAGAGATATGGTTTTGCACATATTTTTTTCTGAATTTACAGTTTGATACTTAATTTTGTTGCTTGTTTCCTTTGCTGTGCAGAAGATATTTAATTTGTAGTAGTCACATTTATTTTTCCTTTCGTAACCTGAGGTTTTGGTGCGACATCCAAAACAAACAAAAATCCCAAACAGTGCCACACCAATATCTAGATACTCTTGCTCTGTGTCTTGCTATGTTCTAAGTGTATCCCCCAGAACAAATGTGATAATCTTAATCCTCAAAGTAAAAAAGATGTGAACTGAGGAATGTTGTTTAGGTGAGGACGGCCACATTCTCATGAAGGCAGTAACGCTGTTGTAGAAGGGATTCCCAGGGGTGGGCTTGCTCAGACCACCTACCTTCCACCCTGTCAGGACACAGCAAGAGGGTTCTCATCAGATGCCATCACCTTGACCTTGGATTTCCCAGACTAAAGAAACTTGAGGAAGTAAATATCTGCTGTTGACCACCAAACCTGAAACTATGATCAAGTTGCAAGGAACCCTACTGGGCCAGTTAGTGAAGGACAGGTGCGGTGGGTGAGGGGGCAGAATAGAGCCAGTGAGAACCAGCACAGGTTTGACCTGCAGGTACGTGATCATTTCCTGAAAATAAGGTGGAGTAAGTTAGAATCTATTTATATGAGAATATTCTGACAGAATAGACACATTTAATGTCTCTGCAGAACCTGGGAGGTGCTGCGAATACACAGCAAGAGTCACTCTTACAACATTGGAGTAAGAAGAGGCCCACGTTAAATGAAGCAGAAATACCTCAACTGCCCTGGCAAATAATAAAATGGAGTCAAAAGCCACAGAAAAAAACATGGAGAAATTCTCAGATGGGATTGTGTTCTGTATAGCAGAGCTGACTACAAGAGATGTTTGTATAAAAATGTGCTTATAGAAAAACAGATGCAGGATCCCCAAAAAACAGGCTTCAGGGTGGAGAGTTCAAACTTCAGACTCATGATGAACACGAATGTAATGAGTGGCAAGGTTGCAGGAGCAGTGGCAGAGGTAACCTGAAGAACACAGAGATCTTACATAGAACATGGCATCTTGAAGAGCCATGCAGATAGAAAGTCAATGTTGCTGATTTTGCCATCAGAATAAATTTGGGAGAAGTGATAGAAGCCATTATAGCAAGAAAATGGCTTCTATGGATTTATACAGTCATTGACTTGTTCAAGCCCATCCTTAATTCCATCTTCTTGAAGCCAATGTAGAGACTTAAAATGAATTTGGACCTATCTATGTAAGTAATAAACAGCAGACAAATTCTTACTATTTGGATGAGGACAGAAAATTTATTTCCACTATAAGTGGAGAATGCTAGAACTGTCGTTCTGGTCAATGTCAGCCTTTGTCCTAATCTACAACCACTACTTAGCTTGGTGTTGAGAGAACACATTTAACTGATTAATTTAAACCCACCAATAGAACATTAATAATACTCGAGGTCCTCAAACAATCAGACTGCCCTAACATATCCCACAAAGCCTGATGTAGGTGTCTCTCAACAAAATTTTACCACTGAATATAAGGTGAGTGATACATTTTTATCACAGTGAGTTTTTTTAAACATTAATACACCTTAATTATACGAGCTGCTTGTTAAACCACAGATCTTAGATTATGCCTTATTACCAAGCTTCTAGGAGACATTAGTGTTACTGCTAGCCCACAGACTGTAATTTGAGTACAAAATTCTTGATTCAGGGCAACTCGAATGTTGTTGCACTTGATAAAATTATAGTTTAAAGTGAAATAGCTCTTACATTCCCCCTTTCCACATGTATACACTCAAGTCTTTAGTTTTCTCAGGATGCAATATGAGATCCCTACCCCTTTATGTTGGCTTGTGCAAATACCAAATAAGAATCTGTAATTGATATTCTAGCATTAGTTATGAAAATTAACACACACTCAAAGCATACATTAACATATTGACGGTACTGCTAGTGTGCCTAATTATCAGTGTTTCTGCTTTCCAGAAGAAGATGTCATTCTATATTAAAAATAAAGGTTATGAGATGACTGGAGATTCCTGAAAAAGGAGGAGACCCAAGCTTTCCAGGACCTACAGACAGTGAGATCACACCATACCAGGTTCGGAGTCTTGGGAAAAGGTAGGAAAACAACATCAGATTAGCCATTTTAAGGAAAGGAAGAGAACATAATGTATCTCACTTTGGAAATACTTTTATTTCAAACTAAACACCCCTGCAAACACATAAGTGCCTCATGCTGGTGCTACTGGAAAGTTCCTTGTGTCCTTTTGCAATAAGAGAAACAATACCCGGCACTAGCATGTCCCCTGAGAACAAACTAGAAGATAGGCTCTGCCTTTCCATCATCAAAAGGAAAGAGAATTTGATGATGATAATTTTAACAATATCCTACTAGGAATTGTAGGCATAAAAGAACTCTTTATTCTAGCTCTCAGAGTTAGTTTTAAGCCACTTTTGGGACTATGAATTGTCACCTTTGATGATGAGAAAATCTTCATACTCTATTTCTACATAAAACTTTTAAGTTTCATGTTTAGTCCTTAAATTTCAATCACAAGTTGACTAAAATGAAGCTCTTAGTGATAATATTAGGGCTCAGGAAAAGTGCCTGGCATTGTCTGAAAGGCCAGCTAGCTGTTCTGAGGAGGAGCTGCACACATCCATTCACCTTTCCCTGCCGATATGTTCTTGATAGAAGCATACACAGACCTGGCCCTTCTGTATACGTGTTTATACATGGCTCACCTGCAGCCACGGGAGGCTCCCAGCCATACAAGTGTTGAGTTCCCAGTCACCCCTCTTTCTGTTTCCCCTCTGAGACAATTAGAGGGCTTAACTGCCGGAGATACGGCTGCAGCAGAATAATCAGGGGGGTGACGAATAACTTGTGTACGTTGATACAGCAGGAATGGGAGCCGTTTATTGCAGGACATGAGCAGTATTTATATATTCCACAGAGCTTATCTTAATTAGCATAAACTAGATACATCAGTCAACCAATAAGGAATTTTCACACTTAATGGCTCACTGGTGTTACTTCACAAACCATTCCCTCTGGCATTTTGCCAGGTGCCATTCTGACTTGTTTACAGACTCTAACACTTAACTCACAAATCTCCTTTCTTCTCACTTCACCAGGTACTGAGCTCTGAGTATGCCAGAGTAAACAAAAAGATAAAAATTTACTTAAAATAAATTTATTATTTTCACACTTTGTTATGGTTTGGATGTATCCCCCCAAAGCTCCCATGTGAGACAATACAAGAAGGTTCAGAGGAAAAATGATTGGGTTGGTTAGAGTCTTGACACAATCAGTGATTTAATCCCCTGATAGGGATTAACTGAGTGGTAATGGAAGTGGTGGGGTGTGGCTGGAGGAGGTGGGAATTGGGTATATACTTGGATCTGGCAAGTGGAGTCTCTCTCTGCTTCCCGGTCACCATAATGTGAGCTGCTTCCCTCTGGCACACACTCCCCATGATATTCAGCCTCAACTTGAGCCCTGAGGAATGGAGCTGGCCTTCTATGGACTAAGACCCCTGAAATCATGAGCAGTCAAATAAATTTTTCCTCCTCTATAGTTATTCTGGTCAGAACCTTTAGTTACAGCAGTGAAAAGCTGACTAAAACACACTTTTTTCTGACAATAGATCAGAATATTATTAGGTTGCTGATGAATTTAGGGAAAAATGTGATTAGAAATTTTATTAGCCATCTTGCACAGAAGAAATTTAAAAAAAAAAACAGGTTTCTAAGAGAAGGTGGGTAATCTTTATTTTTTATATTAATTTCACAAGGCTGAATGTAATGATAGTAGAAAAAAATTTTCTTCCTAAAAGGAAGGAGCCATTATTTATTTTAAACTGAATTATAAATTATTAGCTGCTGTCTTTCATAAATAGTTTAGCTTATGGTCTAATTTATCTCAATTAGTGTGTTAGTTACTTTGATAGATGAATGCATTAATATCAATTGGGTAATGACTAAATTGAATAGGTATCAGCCTACAAAATATTTTGCATATTTAGTGAAAAAAGGCTCAGAAACATGCTAGACCTAAATAACCTAACCCACATTTTTAATTTAACTTTATTTCAACTGATACATAAAAACATCACACAAGTATAATTCATTCAAAATTATAAGTCTACAACAGATCATATATTTTACATATTATGTTAAATTTCAAATGACAAAAAATCATAATTATCTAAAATAATTCAAGAAAAATGAAAGTGGAGAAGTTCTATTAGAATCAATTTTTGCATTAACAAGGAGGGTTTATGAAGTGAACCCTGACTCTCTTCTCTGCGATAGAATCCCAGTTCTGTCCACTAACAACTTAGAGACAATCTGAGAGTCCATGCACATCTTCAAACCTTAGATTTATATTTGTGAAATGAAAAGTAAACTATTTGTATTAGTCAGGGTTCTCTAGAGGAAGAGAAGTAACAGGAGGTATCATTGTAAAAAGGGGATTTATTAGATTGGATTATAGAACCAGAAGCTATATAGTCCACAGTGGCCTTCTGCAGGCTGGAGAGCTGGAGGACACAGTATCTTCATAATTCAAGATGCTGAAGCCTCAGAACAAGAGGATTAATGATGCAACCCCAGTCTGAGACCAAAGGCTTCTGGAAACTCCCTGGAGAATCACTGGCAGAGTTCACTTTGAAACAGTGAAGAAGTAAGAGTCTGATATCCTCAGATCATCACAGCAGCAATCAAGAACCTGTTTGAGAAGAATCAAGCTTGCATCTGCTTCTGCTTCCTTGTTCTTCCAACTTTTATTCTGTCCAAGCCTCCAACCCATTGGACAGTGTTGCCCATACTTAGGAAGGTCTCCGATTCAGTTCACTATCCCACCAGCCAATCATTCCTCGACACACCCACCCAGAATCCTCTGAATCTTAGTCATCTCTTAATCCAATCAAGTTGACGATTCAAATTAACCATTGCACTATTTCTATCCTGGGAAGTTTTCAAGAATTATGTAAGCTGATATAGATAGGGAGCTTGGCAATTGCCTGACAGATGAAAGGTTTAGTTAAAGCTAGATGTAATTATTATTATTATTATTATTAGGACTATTATTATCTTTGAAGTACAATTTGATAAAAGAAAAAAGCACAATGTTAATGTATTTTTTTCAGTTAAACCATATAATAAATATTAGGGATACTTTCACTTCAGACCTGTTTTGTAAATGCTAGCTGAATACTTATAGTTATTAGCATTCTTATATAAGAGAGGACTCAGGCTCAGTCACAAATCTTTCCTTGAAACACATCTGGGAATACATGATGTTCATCTGGGATGCTGTCCTCTGGCTTCTTGAGAACTGGTAACACAGATAACTAAATCAATAGTAAGAATTATTACTGTATTTCATACCTTAAAAAATTCATATATGATTTTAACTTATTTTTTTAATTTGCTAATTAAAATGAGCTGTGAATTTATGAAGAAATAAAGAATTCAATGATCCAAAGATCCCTCCATATTATTCAATCATAACCGGACTCAAATTAGTAATAAATGTAAATAAGTTTTTAAAAAGCACAAGTATAAAATGCTTAGAATAAAAATATATTTAAAGATATTAAATTTAAAATTTATTTCAGATCTTTGTGTTCATATTTATGGTAATTTTAAATGATACTAAATACAATTAAGCATTACATACTTTTCATTCCACATATACATTAAGGACATCAGTTTCTTACCAGTTTTACATATCTCCAAAACTTTTGATACATAATACTCACATGTTTCAAGTTTTTAATTGTCAATTTTGCCCCTACTACAGCTCCAACAACTAGAAGATAGTCCATTGTGGAGCTTTCAAGGGGCTTTCCATTTATCCATGAATCCCAAATGTTTATTAATTCAAAGTGTAATGGATCCAAATGCTGGAGAAAAGGGAAGTCCAGAATCTAATCACTCTTGTTTTACTCTGGCATTCAATCTCTTCAAGGAAGGCTGGTGCTATCTGCTTACTTGTCCCCCAGTAGTAACAGTATTGACAGTAAGGAGCTTGCTGGTTCCACACATTTCCCAAGATCCCTTTTCCTAAACTTACCATGGTCAGGGCAGAGGCAAGAGGAAATTCCATGGCATACGATTGTTCCTGTGTGGATTCCCCATGTGGTCCATGCACTAACAGGACTCACCAGCTCAGCCTACCATGTTGTGTGACACACTGATTCCTGTTGACCCCAAAAAGCATCCCCAGAGAACAGGTCATCCCTCCTTAATTATTAAAAATTAGTCCTTGTATTTCTTTGCTTCCCTTACAAAAGACCCCATAAGTGAAACCAGAATTATACAGGCAATCATTATAGGAGGCAAATCAGTGAGATTGGATCAAGGAGGCCAATTTGGGTCTGGAACCTTGGAGAGAGATTGAAATCCTAATGCCTTCACAGCCCTTCCTGCACCCTAATCATGATAACCTGCCCCAGCTCCAACCTGTTGCTAAGGTAAGCTGTCCCAGGGATTGTCCCTCCTTACAGGGAGTTGTTAATTATGCCCCCTTCCTGCCCAGATCACACCACC